GGGGGGGGGGCAGGGGTAGGGTACGAGGGGGTGGATTGTCAAGTACACTACGTTTTCGCAAGCACTAGTAGAATGGCAGTCTCCCTACTATGGATTTGTGTTGATTTGGGGTTTGGCTTGGACTGATCGAAAGCAGACGCTGATGAAACACCAGGAAATGGGATACCCTTGTGCCGCGAGTAAACCACGTTTCGGCCAGGATCCGGGCTACGTACTCTGGCAATCAATCGTCTCTATTATTTTCACTCGTACTCGCGAAATAGTGGCGTGGGTTCGTGGTATTACTTTCCTTTCTCTTTCTTTTCTCCTTCCTGCTCATTGTTATTAACGCTGGCAATGTGCGCGCGAAGGGTTGCGGAGTGAAAAAAAAAAGAAATATTTGCAACATCCGAACGCGGGCGTCGCGCCAAGTGTAACGAATCGCTCGTTATTCCGGTGAATTTACGGCGCGGTCGATTTTGGCACTCGATGTTCGAATTAGAAAATATAAAGGAATATACTGAGCCAAGGGGATGTTTTCGATGCCCGATTGCTGGACAATCTCGGCTCCGATGAGAAAAATGACGAAAACAAGTGGCAGGGGGATCTTAGCGAGCCGCGAAATTTCTTGCATCCCCTTTATGATGGCTTTCTGATGCGGAGATGAGTCTACGTGGAATGCATAAGATAGGGACTTCTCGGGAAATCTGCACGTGACCCTAATACATGTTACGAAGCCCTCGGCAGCGAGGGATTCCCACGTGAATCCCAAAGTCTAAACATTCGAATATGACTCGGGGATTTGGTCGCTTGTAGTGCCACTCGCGGTGCATATTCCTATGTGCATTCGGTATCTACACATGATATATGTATATATATATACACATATATACCATACTATACTATGTGTATTGTAACGTGACGTTTGGATCGACCTCGCTATGAACTCTCGCATCTATAGCTCCAGACTGTTTCATTGGGAACATGATGATTGGTACCACCTGGAAAATTTAGAAATTCAGGTGATGAAGTAACGCGACGAAATGCGACCTCGGGACTTCCCACTACCAACAATTGCTACCGACGAAAGGGCGATTACTGAAAATCGGGAATAAATTCGAGTAATTTTAGCGAATCGGCAATTAATTTGTTTCGAATTAGTCACCGAGTGGGTACATGAAGGATATTTGTGAAAGACACGAAAGCCATTGTTTAATTCACTTAGAGGATCGTGTTCGAATGTAGGGCATTTTGTCTAGGTCATGATTTTGAGGTTATTTTCATTAACTACTTTTGGTCTCTGAAATACGTCATATCCGTAGGTGCCACTAATTTTGTACTCGCCCTATGTACTTTAAGTAAGGAGTCCCAAGTGCACTTTACGCCTCTGTCAAGTGAGCCACCCTATATTAAGCTACAGATGAAAATACTCACGTGCCAAATGCGACAGCCTATTATAATATGAGGATCGGCATTTCGCTCATCTTTATGCACATATATGTACAAAGTTATATATATATATATATATATATATATGGACCGTTTATTTTGAAAGTGGTGTAAGTTCATTTTCTCTTGTTTCGAGAAAATTAAATGTTAACATATCTGTTAATTAAAATATTTAGGCAAATTATATGAAGTCTGGCAATGTTTCTACTGTTTTATTAATATGTAATTTGGTTATATAAATTTGTTTTAGGCGTATTTTACTAAAATGATGTATACTGACGGGCTGCAAATGGACTTACACCACTTTCAAAATTAGACAATTGTAAAATTCGTTTAATTTCAATTTTGAAAAATCAAATATCACTTAAAATATACTTCATATTAATCCAATTTTGTTTACAAATAATAACACGATATAAAATAGAAGTAGTATTTTTAATTTTAGACGCTAGTTATATTGTTAAAATTACAAGATATTGATAGTATTTACTTATGCTCTGCATGTGGCAGTGTTTCGAAATATGCATGATGCACCGGAGGTATATAAGGTAATAACTGCTTGATGTCTTTATATTTTTCATAAGTAATAGGCCTGGCATCTTGGTACAAAGGCGCCAGGGCGATTTTTTCAAATTTTAGCGGTCCTCTAGGACGTGTAGGTAATAAATTTATAGTTTTAAATTCTTTGTCCTTTATCGATGTTTTATATAAAATAGTGTATGGTGCACTTTTGAGAAACCTCATCCAACATATTTGCAGCCAATTTACCTGTTCTCCATTAGTGTTTTTTCTTATCTGTTTTTTTATCGCAAAATGACACGTAATATAAAACAAATGTAAAATAACAGGCTGCTGATCAGCAAACATCTGCTAAGCCACCTACCTCTGTCAATTGGACTTACACCACTTTGATAATCGATGATTATGCAATTTCATTTACCGACCAATTTTAAATTGTACAAAACATGGGAATTTTTTAAGAAATTAAACACGGACTAGTTATACATAAAAAATTTACCTTAAATTATACAGGAATTACGTGATATCTCATTTTTTCAAAAATGGACTTACACCACTTTGATAATCGATGATTATGCAATTTCATTTACCGACCAATTTTAAATTGTACAAAACATGGGAATTTTTTAAGAAATTAAACACGGACTAGTTATACATAAAAAATTTACCTTAAATTATACAGGAATTACGTGATATCTCATTTTTTCAAAAATGGACTTACACCACTTTCAAAATAAACGGTCCATATATATATATATATATATATATATAACTTTGTACATATATGTGCATAAAGATGAGCGAAATGCCGATCCTCATATTATAATAGGCTGTCGCATTTGGCACGTGAGTATTTTCATCTGTAGCTTAATATAGGGTGGCTCACTTGACAGAGGCGTAAAGTGCACTTGGGACTCCTTACTTAAAGTACATAAAGTACTAAGTGTAGCTATCGGTTTTTCAGTGTCTGTTCGATATACGTAATATGGTTTATTTCGCTAATTTTAAATCGTAGGGGTGAAATAATTGATCGAAGCGATTGGCTTGATGGGGATTTTGGAGAAAAATGGGTCCTATGGGAATATCGTGATGTATTACTATCAATGGTACCTTTCTGTGGTCGTGTTTTAATTTCTCGAATCTTCGTTCGTTTTTTTCCTCCACCCCCAGAAGCGGTAATGGCTCAATGACACGCGTCACGGGGAATCAAGGGGTTGCCTCCGGAACACCCACTGTAATATTCAGTAGCAGCACCCTTCGCGAATCATATGACGGCAATTTGCATTTGTAGTGTACCTAACAACAAGCGCATGTTTCTGAGAGGAGAAATTCTTGTCGCGTCCGTTTCGAGGCAGCCGCTAATCCACCTAGCCTACGTTACTACATTTCATAACTAAATAGGTTACGTAATTTTATATTTAAAATAACACACGAGGGAGCACTTCATTCCTATTATCTTATTAAGATTCAATTAACACCATAAGAGCCATATAGGACGGCACAGTAGTAGATATAGACATTTTTCTCATACAAACCACCCCTTAATATTCGAATCCGAAACGATATGGCATACGTAATTGAAAAGACATTGAAAGTAATTGAAGTAGTTGAAAAGTAATTGAAAAGACATTTTACATTAACTAGATCGACACGCGCGCTTCGCGCGGCAACAGACAGAG